ATACGTATATATATATATATATATATATATATATATATATATATATATATATATATATATATGTACAGGAATTATATAATTAAATGTCAGCATATAATATTACAAAATATCAAACAAAATGTTAATGAAATAACATGGAGTCATCTGTCAGTATCATATTTTTTACGTATAGTAAAAAATTTTAGAACAATATTATTTTAATAAAAATATCATTACGTATTTATATAATGAACTCGACGTTGTTAAAAGAGTCCGATTCATGAAAACATTTGTCATGTTTGAGTGCGTAAAACATTATCTCTATGATTAATAAACTTTTGCTAATAATGTAAAAACCATTATAGCGTACACATTTTTGTCATATTAGGATTTTTGTCTTACAATTAGAATATGTCAAAATCTAATTTCAAAAAATTTTTAGACATCCTGTATATTTGTAATAAAACAAAATAATAATTTGTAATAAAATAATTTGGAAACCATCGCATTTAATAACAAAAGATCTGGAATATAATTACTTTATTTTTTGCATTTTCTTCTTTTTTCTGTTTTCGCGCGCTGAGAGCATTGTATTATCATACAATGAGAAAAAAATGCTGTTGAATTAACAGCATTAGTCTTATTGAAAATTTGTAATTAACATCGGAGGTTTTCTCGATTATTTGATATGGACCTATCCATGGTACTTCCAATTTCTTTGATCGTTCTCTGCGCACTGTTTCGTCATGTAGGAGGACCTTATCTCCTACTTTGAAGGTTTTAGTGTTCGTATTTTTCGTATTTTTATCTGCATAGTTTTTTGCCTTTTGTTTTGCTTCGCGGATATGTTCTTTTGTTAATTTCTGTGGCTCGGAATCGTTCTCTTAGTTCTTGCGCGTAGTTGTCATATGTGTAGTATGATCGGTGGCACTGTCAGGGCTGTAGGTAGTGTTGCTCGGTGCCCGTACATTAATTCGAACGGTGTATAGTCCGTTGCTGTATGCGATGTCGTATTGTACGTGAACATCGCATATGGGATCCATTCATCCCAGTTAGTTTGATCTTCGTTTATATAATGCCTTAAATATTCGGTCAAAGTCCTGTGCGATCTCTCCAGAGCTCTGTTGCTTTCAGGATAAAAGCGGTTTAGGTGGCATGATACGCGGTTGTTTAGATTTTTGTTATTTTTAGGAGGGTGTATACATCCCTGAACAACACACAAAGGTGACATAGGTATGTCACCTTTCTTAAAAATTCAACATTTATTCGATTGTAGTTTCAGATTGTAGTCTCTTAGTTTTTTGAATACTTCAATTAGTCTTTTGTTATGTTCTTTTAAATTTGATCCGTATATTACGATGTCATCTAGATAGACCAGGCATTTGAGGCCTTGTAGTCCGGTTAGCACGGAATTCATAAGTCTCTGGAATGTTGCAGGCA